GGCGCATGATTTACGTATGACGGAGAGCTCAACCTCATTGTAGACGTCTTGGTAGTGAATTTAAACACTGTAATATCCGGTGATTGCATATGACAGTTAGTTTGGTGAGTTTGGAGTTAGCGATGACGTTCCAGTGGTTGTAATTGACTACGGATTGAGAACGATAGCTTTCAGAACTGTCGGTATCCATGAGGGCATGCAAGTCGGTGTTACCAACGAAATTTTCGGTTGTGGTGCGGGTCACTTAGTTGGAAGCAATATGCGTTTGAACAGAATGTGTGTATGAACTGGGTGATGAAGTGACCTGGGTATGTGCTTTCCTCGTTCTATTTGCTCGTTTAACCTGTCCACTCATTGCTCACCCTTTTCCCATCGCTTTTCTCTCGGGGCACTTTCCACCATTGTGTTTGGCATAACCAAAGAAGTTGCATGTTGCTCTTTGTACGATTGATGATAGTCATTCGGCTTCAGAAGTGTGATTGGATAGAGCATATGTGTGTACATTGTAATTGGAGTACAGAATTTGCTGAAGATCGGCGAATAATCGCATTTTCTAGGACTTAGACTATTTTGCGGCAATTTCGGTATACTGCTTTATCATAAGCAGTTTGCATATTCTAAACTCTCCCAGTTGTCGTTACGGTGCTGTTTGTCTGCAATTCAGTTATTATAGCTTCGCGCATAGCATCATCGCGATATTCTTCGGCTGACAAAACGAAAATCGCACTCCTTCGCTGACAGCTTGATGTTTTGAACTAACTGTTCGTTGTCCTGGCTACACTTGCTTACACGTAGTTAGGAGGTATCGAGCAAGAACCATCTTGGTGCGCACAGACAAAAGTTGAAAAGTGTAACGGTGCTATCGAATGGTCTACATTCAGAAACTTGTCCGTAGACCGATGGGGGGAAAGAATGTTGAAGATCATCTCCAGTTTTTCCTAGTCATCACATTGAACTGGTTTAGGATGGCTTTGCATGTCCACAACCAATAAGTCAATTTCTTGGAAGCGTCAGATGCATTTAGATTGGCATCGAATTTGTATGGACGAAGCTAGTGATCCACAGAAGTGTTAGACCACTAAATTGATGCCTTGAACGAAAATTTTGCACAAATGGAATAACAGAGACGGAGGAATACGCTTTGCTGGTCTGACAATGGAACTACGTGAGCTGCTATGTGAAAAGAGCTGGTTACAATGCTTTTGAAAGAAACCAAGTGAGTGAATGAGAAGCGTTATTACTACACTTCCCTCGCATATCACTGCTGGTGTTAACTAATACTAATGCCGCGCACTCACCCGCCACTGCTGCATACTTCTTGCTCCTACACTACCGTAATCAACAGGCGGCGTAGCCTCCTAAGTGTGGTGGACACACAACTTCGAGTACCTGGGAATGTGGCCGAACCGGAGGCAGCCAGCGATAGGACAGTGGCCGGTGATTGAACAGAGGTGCGTACATCATTCGGAATGGGAGTAGAATGTGGACTGCGAGTGGGTATACCTTTTGAAACACGGCTATTGCTCATGGCTATTCGGCAAGCGTTGCAAAGGCAGCTGACAACCGAGAAAGCAGTCAGCTGGAGACATTCATAGATATCAGGACAGATATTACAACACTAAATGTGTATCCACTTGTTGTAGAAAGGGTGTTGTACAGTCTTTAACTGGAAGGCGCGCCTTCACTGCTATGGGGACACCATGGTTGGAAATGAAGCGATGTCGAGGATAATGCATGATCTATCAGATGCAGGGGGATTTGATAAACTTCAATTCCTGATACAGGTGATTCTCTAGAAAAATCCATATGCACCTTAGTCCGACTGTAATAAGCCGATTAACCAATTCGAGCCAATGACCGTGATTTGAGTCGAACATTCAGCCATCCTTGGCCTCAAGTTGGTTCGTCGAACGTTGTCCTGATTCCATAAAGTGTTCATGAACGAGTGTCTGTAGGAATTTTAATAGAACAAGTACAATGAACATTTCTGTATTATAATCTGAATTCAGTATATTTCGTGTGTTCTCTTCAGCCGCTTACGTACAATGAGTGACATTTTTAAGCGGTTGAGAATTATAGGCCAATACCAGAAATCTATGGTTACTTGTGTTGGCTAGCATGTCTTACCTCACCAAGGCAAAGCAAGGTTCATCACAAACTCAAGTTGTTTGCACAGGTTAGGCTTCAAATGCCGGATGACGCAAGCCTCAGCGTAACTCAACAACTTCGGATTGCTCTGTCTGTTGATGACTTTGAAGGCTACGCGGGGATTCTGGCACATCGAGCAGTCGAATAAGTGCCGGGCAACGGAGCTGGCAGGTAATGTTGCGCCACGAAGAGCAAGGTTCCGCGGAACGTGTTCTGAAATCCGAGTGGACAACCTCTCTGTCCGGCCAATGTACATGGTACCGCAAGCACAGTTAAACTGGTAAACACATGAGGCGGTGACAGTAGGGTGAGGCTTGTCCAAATTGGATTCATGTAGTAGCTTTTCGGTTCTGTAGAGCAAAACAAACTCAGCTGTATCGTAACATCTCTTTATGGTATGAGGTAAGCGACAGCAGAACCGTCTGTCATTTTCTTTCCCTTTGTAAGGCAGTGCAATAAATAGCTTTTTCATTGAAGCTTCGGTACTCTTTTCATGCGGCCTGATTTTCTCCCCATTCCTTGTCAGGGTCCCCATCTTCACGTACGATGGATTCGGTACCCTGTAGTTCTTCCACTATGTTTTCCTCTGAACGGATACGGCGGGCTCTCACAAAAGATGCACGAATCAGTGAGCGTTTGTAGCTCATGGGGCAGTTCACCATGGAAAGCGAAACATCAGGTAACTTTCACTTCTTAGATGTATCTCTGGAAAGATCAGATGGGTCGCTCCTGAGATCAATTTATCACAAACCGAGCTGGACGGGGCAATACCCAAACTTTGACATCTGCTGCTTCAATGAAGAAGGTATTTATTGCACTGCCTTAAAAAGAAGAAGCAAATCACAGACGTTTCTGCTATCGCTTACCTCATACCATAAAGAGATGTGCTGAGGTCGTGTTGCTCCACAGAACCAAAAAGCTACTACATGAATCCAATTTGGACAAGCCTCACTCTACTGTCACTGCCTCATGTGTTTACCAGTTTAACTGTACTTGAGATAGTATGTACATTGTGGCCGGACAGAGAGGTTGTCCACTCGGATTTCAGAGCACGTTCCGCGGAACCTTGCTCTTCGTGGCGCAACATTACCTGCCAGCTCCGTTGCCTGGCACTTATTCGACTGCTCGATGTGCCAGAATCCCCGCGTAGCCTTCAAAGTCATCAACAGACAGAGCAACCCGAAGTTGTTGAGTTACGCTGAGGCTTGCGTCATCCGGCATTTGAAGCCTAACCTGTGCAAACAACTTGAGTTTGTGACTAACCATGCTTTGCCTTGGTGAGGTAAGACATGCTAGCCAACACAAGTAACCATAGATTTCTGGTATTGGCCTATAATTCTCAACCGCTTAAAAATGTCACTCATTGTACGTAAGCGGCTGAAGAGAATACACGAAATATACTGATTTCAGATTATCCTGCAGCAATGTTCGTCCTACTTGCTTTATTAAAATTTTTGAAAGGAAATGGTTGTGTGCCATTTTTGTAGGAATTTACTGCCTTTCTATCTCCATTTAAACTTGATATTTCCCCCTAACTTGTGTGCGCCAGCCGCACACCTCAGGCTGGGTCCCATGTGGACACCTGTGACAAGGTCAGGCAGCTCGCCACGAGGTCTTAGTCAGGCTCATCTCTAACTCCATTCTGTCTATTTCTAGGTGGTTCTGATGAACTAATCCAACTAGCTATGCGTCAGAGATAATAGTAGCGGTTAAGCTACTTGAAAAGCTGTTAATAACTTCGTTGAAAACTATGTTAATAAACTTCAGTTTTGCGCAACGTTTCTGACGAATTTACTTGTAGCTCGGAATATCTGGGATGAAACTGCGGACAATGGTAATGCTATAAATATACTTTTTGTTGATTTCGTTATGGTTTTTCACACCGTCACCCATTCGCGACTCTCACTAAAGCCGCAATATCTTGTCACCCCTTCAGTGTGTGGTAACATCCCCACTTACGCAACAACTGTATGTACGTATGGTATGTGACCTTTCGTTTCCCATTGTCATCAATACACATTAGCTGAGAGTGAGAAACACGCCTCCGCTAATGTGCCGCCATACAAAAACATAAGCTACTAAAAATTACGCCTCCAAATAATTAAAAAAGCAAGTAATATAATGTTAACTAGCATGTTATTCCTTTTCCATGTGATCGTAATTGGAAAGGAATCTAAAGGAGAGGGAATGGATCATGAAACTCATAACACACGCCATTGGGGCCGGCTCTTCGCCTTATCAGCACGTGTGTCCAAACAAACGTGTTCATCGTTCTTTGATCCCCAGCCCGACAGTCAGGATGCACCACCGACGCCAACTTCAAACTGAGGGTTTTCATTCCTCTTGGCCAAGTCGTCGCTTGGCCTCCCCTCCTCCCCCATCCAGACCCCGGCGGGCAAACAACGCACAACGGTGGAGTCGGTGGTCTGGCATGCACAACGGTAAGACACTTCCTAATGGGGTTTCTGGAGAACTAGATGAAAAACGGAGGGTTGAATCGTCAATGACCTCTTTGACTTCTCCGCCATGTCGCATGAAGCAGATAGAGCAGCTTCTTTAAGACCGGTGCAGGATGAGGTAAAACTTCGGTGTAGCGCTCATGGTTGCACGTGGGCTATCTCTGCTTGACTTTGTTTCCGCTTGATTAGGCCATGGCCTTACCGACAATCCACAGCGACCTGGCTTGTTTTTAACTGGTCATAACCAGAAGTCAGTTGTGCAGTTGCTCCCATCCTTGGACCACGCGATGTCTATTACTTGTGGTTTCTGCTCACCACCTAGGTGCGTCTTCCTATGTAACCTTTGTTGTATCCCTCAGTTTCGAACACCGTTCTTTTTTTTACCTTATTCCAGGTAACTGGTTAACTGCGATTCGATGAAGCGAAATGCCAAGAGGCAGATAGTTGTAAAGTCTTCACAAATGGGACCTGTTACCCACATCCCTGCCTTTGGTAAACAATCATGTGCCCCTTATGAATCACAGATTCTCTGGATGAAGCACTTCGCTTTTTATACCAGTTGTTCCCCTCCGCATCCTTCAGACCGTCTGTTCGCCCCATTATCCTTAAGTCACAGCTGTATGCTGTTATTGAAAATCGCACTTCTGTGGACATCCAGTTGGTATCTTGGTGTTTTCCGTAACGAACCGTTCTTAGGGCGAACTCCACAATTCTGGACGTCTTCGGATGTTGAAGGTGGAAGATGAAACTGATGATTCTCTTGGCATAATGACTGCTGAAGACTATTACCTCGCATTCCAAGATGCGGGTGTGTCAGACTCGCACCCTACGGTGATAAGCAAGCAACGTTATTCCATGAACCATATTCCTTACAGATCGGTTTTGCAACTTAGTTCTTTCCGAACACCACGGCCTAAGTATCAACAAAGCATTGTTACTGCAACATTTCACAGACGACGAAATCACGTTTGTTTGGCAACACTCATATCATCTCGTTGCAGAATACTTGTGCATTCCGGTGCACTGACTATTCGGTCAACTAACTTGTGGTGGATCTCTTCACCGCAATTGGGCCGCTTCCTCAGGGTGTACAAAATCGGTCAGAAATCACTGCTCACACTTCTACGTCGACAGCGTTTCAAGGAACTTTTACTACCAGTAAGTCATGAGTTTCTGCGACCGCTGGCTTTTAAAATTATTGCTTTGTAATTGGCGCCCTTCTTTGTTTTAATGGTGATCATCAGTGCTACGTCTACAACCAAAACGCAGTGAAGTAACACCACTAATTTCATGTTGGTCTCCATGCGAACGCTAAATACATAATACATGCAGCCACTTGTTTGAACGCGATACAGTTATGCTCTTCATGTGCCATTTTATCTTTTGTACGATTCAAGGAAATTTCTGTCACGGAATTTTGTCCGTCGTATTACATCCTTTTTCCGAATGAAACTAAGTGTGGTTACTTACTGAAGTTTATTCGAGACCAAAATGTGAGCCTAACGTAACTTAAATTACGCTGTACAGACTGTCCTGGTTGTGCCTCGATCAATCATGGATCCTGATTTTAATTCAACACCAGTCTGCTGATCGATATTTTTCCGGTGTTTTGCAACCTGATCGTTGAACATCAGCTGGGTTTTACCTTTTACTACGCTCCGTTTGGTTTTTGAGGCAGATGATTGAGTGACCACGATTCGCGAGCTCTTTTGTTCAGCGTTCGAGAAACCGTACTTTCCTAGCATTATAGTTGTGACCAATCTTGCCTTATCTGGACACCTCAGCCGTTGGAGATTTTACAGTACATTGTAACTTTTGCTCGTATTCCAACCCAAGTCTCTAACTTTGGCACTTACTAGGGCCCCTGTTATTTATGGTACCTTTGGAGGGAAGCCAAACCAGCGAACCATTTTACTGGGCCAAAGCATGAGAACGAGGGGAAGCCTTTTGGCCAGACTTGTCGTGAGAGTCGAAGCGTGAGAACCGCTCTACCAACGGTGCCTAAACGAGTGCCAGGCCGGAGTATGAGGGCGGTGTTGAGGAAACAGGGCTTTGAAGAGCGCCCAACGATTTCCATGCCGAGTCCGTTGTAGTTGACGGCGGACGTATTGCCCGAAAAGTGGCGTCTGCGGAAGGCGTGGTGTATGGATTTCACGATACTGACGCAGTTGCACAACCAGATGGAAGGTTACCAGTTGGCGATGTTCCGACACACGATTGGCGATGACACAAGCCACGTATTGGAGACAATGGATTTCAACGACGATTGTCAAGATTTGCTCACTGTGAAGCAAAGCTTCGGTGCATTTTGCGAAGGAAAGCGAAACAAAAGTTACCACCGCCACTTATTTTTTGGTTGAATAATAACTGTGTCGCCGAGCTGAAAATATTGTCAGGAGCGTGAAACTTGCGAATGTCTACACTGTTTCATGATAAGTGGTCGAATTGTACTGGGCGTCCAGAACGAGAACATTACTCTGAGGTTGCTGCAACGAAGAAACCTGTTGTTGCAGCACCACATTGACATTTGTAATAGTGTAATGTCAACCACGTCCAAATCTCACCAGGTGAAGTCCAACAAATTAGCTGAAATATGCGCACTTTCAAAGCCCAAATTTTCCTAGTTGCGATCCACTTCTGGGCGGGAAGGAAACTGTCAGTACTGTGGCCGTGGTAAACACCCTCGAAAGGAAGATTGCCCAGTCTGCGGAAAGATATGCGTGAAGTGCTCGAATGAAAACCGCTTTGCGCAATGTCGTCGCTCAAAGAAAGTGAATTTAGTCAACTGTAACGATACACTGGTTACAGCAGAGCCCTCCACTAACAAGATGAAACGTCCGGGTGATAGAAGAAGTGCATGTGTGACGTTTATCTTCGAGGAGAAATCTCTGCGTTTCCAGTTAGACACAGTATTAGGTGACTGCAATGAGAGAAATGTGTGACACGGTTCCGCGACATGAAGTGGGCCTGCGTCGGGTCACGCGGAAAGCTGGTGAAATCAGTCCATCATCACGACACGGATTGCTACGCAGCCAGCGTGAGCACTACTACAGCTGGCCAGGGGAGACCGCTAGCAGGTTTGAATCTGACTAGACAAGTGACATTAGTCAACCCAGAAACGTGCACCCAGAGGTGATGACATTTGACCTATAAACTTGACCGTGTTCTGTTCCTACTGCACTTCGGTCTGCTAGCTCTTGGTCTTCTGTTTCTTTCGCTGGCGGCGCAGAACCAAGGGCAAAGTTACAACACACAGGAGCCGTGGTTAGCATCCTGCCGGAGTGCGTTGTAACAAGGAAAAGCAATGTCTCAAGATGTGGAATGGCTCAAAACATCAGCCCAAAGATGGCACCTTACTGGAAGTCACCAATCCCAGTTACGGAAAACGTCATCACATCAACTTTGTCCTGTTACATGGGAATTTTGTGTCCATCCTGGATCTTGATTCTATACAGCAGGTCGGTTTTGTTTCTTATAACAATGGATGCCTTGTGAGTTCGTGTCAGTTAGCAACAGATGTCATGGATCGCTAGCCTAGCGTGCCTGATGAAGCAGTAGGGAGATTCGATGAGTTTGCACATCTGTCGTTAAACAATAAGTTTGCTGCCCACTGCCAACAGCGCTCCAATCGAAAACGCTATCGCCGGCTATAATGAATAGTCGTTTGAAAAAGAGACTGCTTCGTCAAAACTTCTATTCTGATCGTGGGTCAAAATAGTTTCCCGCACTTCGGATCGGGGAGGATGTGTGAGTACAATTAGCTCCCGGAGTTGAGAAACGCCTTAGACGATGGATTGTAGAAGTTCGCGCAGGTGAGAGAAGCTACGAGATCAGGGTGGGCGACGGGTTGTATGGACGAAACCGGATTCATCTGAAGCAGCATCCATCAAGTAATGCGATGGTGAACGAGCGACAAAACCGACATGACAGTACAAATCTTGAAGCAGGTAATAGAAAGAGGACACACAGCGCTAGAGTGTACGCAGCCTCACTGGTCGACGGACTGGAACCGAAGAAACGGTGTGGCAGGAAGTCAAACCAGAGAACCATTTTACCGGGCCAAAGCGTTTTCATTTCCACTTCATCTTTGTCGATGCGACTAGCTAGTAGCCTCGGTACTTACAACTGTCTCTTGATACTGTGCCGCTGCTCACACTGCCTTCGAATAGTCGCCCGATGGTAAACAGGCAAAAGCACTCTACTGTACCGAAAATATTCGCCTATCTCCAGTTGCTATTCAAGGGAGATGTGGCAAAGCAAGTCAATGGACGTGTAGCACAGTAATTCACGAACATTCAGTACTACCAAACTGTTCCTCGTTTGGACAACCAGGAAGTTACCAACGCATCCGGTCAAGCTTACCAAACCGATCTCCTATATCTACCAGTCTGTCTGTAGCTACGGGAGCAGTTACATTTGTAGAACTGATCGGTGTTGATCGGTGGTCAATTATCGATTTGTGCGGGCTAGTGAAAGAGCGTTTGGATGAACTCTCCGGTGATTCGTCACAACTCCATAGGAGACAGGTGAAATGTGCACTGCAAATGACTCCCGATGGGGTAAAACAGCCACCAACTGCCTTTCGTTGAATAGCTGACCGAGTGCCGCTATGACCTAAATGACTTTCGATCAGTCATCGTGGGAAACGTATACATTGCTTCTGACACATCTGCATCGGAGTTAAAGCTTTTTGAAGACCATTTTTCTTCAACGCTACTGCTTAAATTAGATTGTTCTACCTGCATTGTTGCTACCTACTTCAACAGAAAGGAGGCAATGTACTTGAAGACACTTGGCTTCGTAGACTTAGTGACTGTCTCGGTTATACAAGATGCCCAGTTCGACATTGTACACAAATAAATGACAGTTGTTTCCCATATAAAAACGGGCTTTTTTGAGCAGCTCAGATCATTGTATTTTAAAACTGTATCCAGTCATATACAGCAGGTCTAACTTTTTTAACACTGACCAGACAACATTATCCAACGGAGACATTGCTCTTTGGGAAATATCACGAGGCTCCAGACGATGTTTTCCTTAACTAATTTTTCGGTCTTCAACGATGAGGACCTGTCGCTCGAATGTGACCATCTTACGGACTACATCAAATATTGCTTTGACATGTTTCCCCGTTGAAACCATCTAGCTAAGCACAGATAGATTTTCATCACCACTACTAAAGCGACTTCAAAGGACGGAAGATAAGCCTACAAGTGTAAGAACGCTATCTGTGTCAAAGACCTAATCACAGCAACTAAATTCGAGATAAAAAGATACTGAACCACTTATACGTCGTAGTACCTCTAGGCAACCATAACTGTAGCGACCTATGGAGGCTTCTGAGGCAGCTCTGTGGCAAGAGCGCTTGCAACCAGAGCGGTGAAGTGGATGTGGATAAACTGAATTTAGAGTTTGGTTCCGCCTCATTAAACTCACTTCCTTGCCCTCGTTCATTAGCTCAAGTCCAGCTGCGTCCTTCGATCAAAGCGATGTTCACGAGGGACTCAAAAGATTAAAGGCAAACAAACCTTGTGGTCCGGTTGCTCTCTCACCATTAGCTTTGAAGGAGTATGCTGATTCTCTCACACTGCCTCTAACAGATCACTTGAACAAGTGTCACATTACGGGTATGATCCCGGACATTTGGAGAGCGGCCAGTATTACTCCGGTACCAAAAAATGGAACTCAAAAGTATCGCCCAATTGGGTGTACATAGGTGCTTCTAAAAGTTTTTGAAAGACTGTTAATTCCGCGGATTTGTTCAGCCGCTTCTGACGACAATACCTACCAGTTTGCGAATAGACCCCAGCGCTCCACATTGGATGCAGTGACCTATCTTGTTCATTCTATAGCCTCTGCATTAAATCAAAAATATAAATCCGTGCGGCTTTTCCTGAATTATTCCGAGGCCTTTGGAAGCGTGGATAAGTGAATGTTGCTAAACCTGCTATCCGAAAATGTAGTTCACCTGCGTGTGTGTAATCTGTTACGTGACTATTCTAAGGGTTGTACTCATTTCACCAAGTTGAACGATAAGAAATCCTCTGTTTTCCGTGCCGACTGTGGTGTTCTGCAGGAAGCGATCCTATCACTTTTATTTTCCTTGTATGTTGAACGTCTCCCTATACAAACCACTTTTCTAGAGTGTAACTATGCGGATGATGTTATACTGCATTCTTGATGCTTCTTCACCGCAGTTGGGCTAAACCAACTTACACTTAAACTAGGTCTTTTTAAGCTGGATAAATTTCATTCCACTTTATTTCGTTTGTTCTGCCTACCTGAATAATGTTCCATTAACTGGCCACGTTGCTTACGCTGATTGCGCTTATCTTCGGTGATTTTGTTGTGTTTGTAGCATTTTTAAGTAACTTGTGGACATTTCTTACTTATCGCATATTCATTGCTAACCAACTTACTTCATATGGTAATTTAGGGAAGAGTGATGCCACCGTGTCTGTATGCATTATTGGATTTATTTTATTTCAGCTTGTCGTTTAAAGTGAATGGCTGTTGCTTGATATCCCCGGTGTGGCTGCGCTTGATGTGCATGTTGACAAGGTGCTTACCTGTCTATTACCCACTACCTCGTTCATACTGGCTCCAGGAGACAGTTGATCGTTGCTGGAGGGGACGGGGTGCACGGTCCTTGTGGCCGTGCTAGACTCAAAGAGCGGTTCCATGCACTTAGTGTGGAGCGGACTACGGTCCAGCCATCGCCTTGTGTGCAGTTGATTCCCCAAATACAGCGTGCTTGTGTTTTCCTGTGAAGGAGTGTGGGCCGGCTCCGTTGATAAAACGTGGCTCCCATCCACATGCCTCCCGGTCTTATTCCTTTGAGTTTACACTAGATATGGGGTGTGTGAATGGAGCTGTGGGTGGTGCAGCGCAAGCCATCCATGGTCCCTCTGTAGGCGCAGGCGTCCTGTGGCTGGCCACAGTGGTAGGCAAATCCGAAACCGGATGCCGCGAACCATGGCTTCAGTAGGTTGTTAGATCTGGTGGGATGATCTTCATCCAGATATCACGCTTAATGCTTCCTAATGCAGTGACGTAATATTTTCTTTTCTCCGTGGCGATAAGTTGCAGCCCCCCATAGATTTCCTCTCCACCCTTACTGGGAATGAAAATCCCATACCCAACACTTTCACCGTTAAGTATCTCGACGTCATTCTGTCCCAGGACGTTTCCGAGTCCACACATATCTGTACAACTTTTCAAAAGGTCAGAAAACTTTCTTTTTAATCCTTCAGACTTAGTGCTTTCAGTGTCTTATACTTTAATATTCAGCTTTGTGACCTCTTGCTGCTCTCCTTTCATTTCCCCCGGACAACCAGAAAGAGTACATATTATTATTGCGATCTATAAAGCACGTTTTTAGATGCAGCGGCTTGTCTAGAGATTCTTTAGTTGATTTGATCATTTCTAGACATCTTGATGCTTGCAATAATTTTTCTTCTAAGGTGCTAACTGCTCGATTTCATCCATTTCACAACGATCTTTCCAAAACTTTCTCTTCTACTCGTTCAAATTTCAGAATTTTATTCTCCTGCACGTTATCGTATCGTAATACTGTGTTGCCTTATCTCTCACGTTTGCTTGTTGACCCAGTAAAAGTCACTAACATGCTGCGCGAGCGGTTGTTGGAATAACAGTTGTGCATTCCCCAATTTTTATCCCCTAGCGTGTATGTTGGTTGATTTTCTCATCCATTTGTCCGCATTGGTGGTGTATATGCTGAAAATGAACTCATTCGGGTTTATAAAGTTTATTTGTAAGCACTGATCGCATTTTTTGAATGTAGTCCGTTTTACTCATTAAGACTGTCGCAGCCTTTGTCAGGCCTCATTACTACAATGTCCTCATTTCGACCTATCTGTAGTAACGAATCAACGTGTTCTTTCGTGAGAAACCTCGATTTTTCAGTCTCCGTAAGTCGAAATTGGTTATCTAGGTCCACTCTCTTGGACTTAAACCAGCAACTCACGTCTTCCGTCGACGAAGCCAGACTAAAAAGTTGCTCTTGCAAGTGTTCGAATTGTGGATCACTTACCAGGTGACGCAGAGAAGTTGAAACTAAGCCATAGCGCCTCAATTTGGTGGCGATTGAGGGGTAAGTTGGGCAAGTTCACGTCATAATTCTGTTGGTCAGGTGGAAGATGGTCATTTAAGCGCTCAGAAGACAGCTTAAGAATTTGGCATATGGTCAACAATCTCGTTTTAACTTGCAGCTCTCGCAGGGAATCGTGCGGCACAGAAGATTCAGGCTGTTTCAGAGAGGTTCGACTCATCCTAAACGGGCTTTCAACTGAATGATAGGATGCACAGGAGCCTCAGTCCGAAGCTTTGTGTAGCTTCTCAACTTTCGTGGGGTCACGTACAACTTGTCATTTCTCCGAGATTTTGGGAACCGACGCGGGTGCATGGACATCTTCATGCATTCCTTATAAGCATCAATACGCGCGGTTTCTCGCGAAATGAAACACTACCAGGACACTAGTTTATCCAGTGAACGCAATGCGTCAGGAGGTCTTTCTTCAATAGTTTCATTCCTCTTCAAGTTCTTTAAGAGAGCAAGAACGACCAGCATTTGAGCGCGATAACCTGAATTCAGATTATTTCGTGTCTTTTCAATCAACCGCGTACAGACAAATAGTGGAAGCATTAAAGGGATGCAAATGAAAAGGGATTAATAGGACACTGAGAGATCCAAGGTAATGATGAGAAACACGCCTTACCCGGGCAAGGCGAGTCTGATCACAAAGTTAAGCTGTTTGTAAAGGTTAAGTTTCAGTCACCGGAGAGTGGAAGCCTCAGCAAATCGAAGCATGCTCGGAGTATTCTGCCTGTTGATAACTTTGAATACGTTTCGACGGTTTTCGCACAAGGTGCAATCGAGCAGATGCTGAGTGATCGAGCTGACAAGAAGTTTAGCACCACTAGTTGCCGATTTTCGGGGAACATGTTCCATGATCCTAGTTGATAGCCTTCTCTCAGTTCTGCTAATGCCCATGCGACCAGTCAGTGACCTTTGATTAATCTTTTGGCAACCCATTCTCCTAAGCTATTCCCTTTCATTATAGCTAGTAAAGCAATATACACCCGAGCTTAACGCACCTTCAATATTAAAGTGCGGAATTGCCAGTCGAACGTAGCCTGTGTTGTTGTTGGTCAGTTATTCGCTCGAGGCAATCAAGCGACTCATTCCAATGCTTTCCTATCTTAGGATCCTATTATTTCCGTTGATTTATAACAACATAAAAGTGCATTTTTACATCAGTGTGTTTGTCTCGAGCCGGTTCTGATATTTGAAGCTGAGCCAAAACACTGGCGTGCAATATATTCTTTCCTTTTCATCGAATGGCAGTCACGATGGCGATTTAGGTGTGTATGACTGCAAGTTGTGTACCTCCGTCGACTATGCATTGGTTAGACGCTATTTTTTCCTTTCTTTACCAAAGGCCATCTTTTCTCGTGGAATCGGGAAGGCTGCCTCCTTAGGTTCTCTGTACCATATTCTCGCCCACGTTGGGAACGCTACTTGCATTTCGTAAGTTTGCTGACTTATTTGTTTTTTCTTTATTCCCGGTTCACTGCGCAATTTTTGGGTTGCACGAATTGTCGTCGGTCGGGTGCACATCATGTTTCAATTACCTTCGCTGTCTGTTAACGTTATTTTTGGGTAGGAGTTACCTGTGATCGGGTCGAAATGCGTTTAATTGTTCCAATGTGACGACAGTTTGGTAAGAAATAATGGGAAATCCTTATTCCTGTAGCTTAGATTTGTATCTGGTCTAGGTACAAGAGGCCCCGTGGAACATCACGCTCTACGCACACGGCCGTTCCACATTTGGGACACTAGACTTTTCACCTTCATATCTCCACCGGTGACTGAAAGGATAAGAAGCCTACTTTGCAGTCAATAGGTCACCGATTTCGCATTTTCGTAGATGCAGGTGACCTGCCGGTGTACCCAGCCCACTGGCGACCGATGATGATCGCGTGACAGCGAAGCGGGGTGATGCTGATGCCTTTCTTTCCATCGTTAGTGGCTAAAATGTTCACATAAGTAAATTTGATGTCTGGGAAGCACCGGTACATCATTTTTGCCTTTCTCTATGTTACCTAATCCAGCTAATTGAGTTAATCACAGGCTTCCCTTAGCTGTTGCACCAATGGATAAGGATCGCACTTTTCAGTCACTCTTATAGCGCGAACAGAGCCGGAAGGAAGAATTCTTTCAGTTATTGGAAGTTATTCTACTATATTTGTCACCAAGCATATGCTAAGAAATTGTAGAACTTAAATTGCTGGTCTATGTTTATTTTCCCGATACTTTTCCGAGTCCCGCGATATCGGTGCTAACCGATGCATTTTTAAACGCAGACACTTCTCATCTTTGGCAATCTAATGCGAGAAGTGTAATCACCTTACGGAGACTTAACAACGCTTGAAATCAGTGTGGTAGACCTCTGGTCTCTAGTTAATTGTAATTGTTCTGTCCACGTGGATAGCTCCATCAGCATGTACGAGCAACTGGGCGGCATCATTCTTTCGATGCTAACTTTGAAATCCTCAACATTTCACCCAAATAGATGCATCGATTGCGTATAATGTAGGCCGAGCAACACAGTCAGCAGGCATACGACCTAGCTTTCTTAAGCGTTTCACCACGATCGTGTTTAAATGTATAAAAACAGAACATCGGAGCACTTTAGATATTTACATTCGAGTTCTGAACTGCATGCCCGCGAAACCAGATCAGATATTAGACAAACGCATCGCGTAAATAGGATGACATTCAGCACTGCCAAGTAGCTCATCACCGTGGAAATAACCCTACTTGCAATCGGTAGTCGTACATATTCTCAATTAGATGCAGCTAGTATCTCAATCATCCTAGCCAAATAGCATTAGTTGCGCCCTCATAACCGATTGCAATTTGCAGCTTAATGACTGCTTTCGTATAGTTGTGTACCTTCACCCTTTTTATTTGCCTATGTTGATCGACATTTTTAACACATTCTACTTTTTTCACTCATCTCAGTATCCCAACATCCTCGGGCTCCTTGATCCGGCTGCGGACATGATGAGTGTTGTGAAACTTCTCACATCGATTTCTTTTGATATGTGCGGAACGAATGCTCGTTTGTCTTTGACTTCACAGCTTCTGTCTTTTGGGAGGTCGATTTATCTAATGTACAATGTTGTCTTCTTACTTTATCCAATACAAGTGTCTCCCACATACCTTTCTATCGTTCCAACGGATCCGTCACAAGTAACGAAAGCAACTTTCTTTCGGCAACAAAACCAGTCATTTGGTAGCATCATGGCTGTCCTTTGAATTACAACGGGAACAACGCGTGATTTGTACGTGGCACACTTGGGTTGTGTGATGAAAAGCACATTTCCCTTATCAGTCAACCATAGTAGCAAGCGAGGTTCTTTCTGATGGAACGTGGGTGCGACAGTGATAAGCGTCCAGGAAGCGTCGACGTCGCTGGCTCAACCGTAACCACTGCGATAAATGACTAAATCATTCACACAAAGGTGCGCGAGACAGATTATGCAGATGTATCGATGGTTAACAGGAGTGGGTGTACCCAATTGGAGAGAAAACGGACTGAATGCTTGGCATACAAGGCAGGCGAATCAAAATATGTACTCAGGGACTTGTTCATTGGTAGCTCGCAGCGGGCCACTATCAGCCCGCGAATCCAACACCAACTAGGCCATGTTCACCTGTCGAAAACCGATCACCTCTTGGCGTTATATGATTGAGGGATCCTCAAACCAGAACCACAAAGATGGACAGCTACAGAACGGTGATTGCACACATAAATAAATGGTATATTTCTCGACATTGCGAGACACCGACCGATTACGTGGTCTGAGCATTTTGTACAACATAATCGGATAGTGGTGAAAGTTGTTCTAGTTTTACACTGCTCCCAATATAGTATTTGGAGTGTTCCATCGATTAAGAGTAATAGAAAATGGACAAGTTGCGAGTATGAGTAAAGGCAGGTATAGCCGGCAGTTCAAGTAAAGTAATACAGTCATCCATGCTATGCTAATTCGCGCAGCATGAGGGATAAGTGGGAAGCGTTGAGTATGAGTTGTAAGCGCGTTGTTGCAGTCATGACAGCATTGTCTTTGGCTTTCTCTAAGTGATCTAGTTCATGACTGCAGGCTTATTGACTTCTCTGGTTTCACTGCTGTCCGAGGTGAGGAGTGTTGGCTTGGCGGAGGAGTGCCGTTGCTCCTAAGGTGTCATCCAGCATCACATCAAATCAAGCAAATAGTTTATGCACCCAGCCGTAACACACGCTTTGAGCGATACAGCATTCAAAAAAGTGGATCAAAAATTGCAAAAAGAATAACGCCATCATAGCATAAACCGGTTTGTCAATTCTCGTGTAAGTTAGGGGATAATTGACGAACGGTACGCTCGTGTACGGGCATATATGGATTTGTACTGTTGCCCGGTTGACGAGGTTGAAGCGCATTCAGGCAATACACAATGGAGGGGTGAATTGTGTCGGCAAGTACTGTTGATGCTAGTCCCGTGCAAGAACCAACATAAGTGAGTACAAGTATATCAACGAACCTCCGCTTTGATGCATCGCGACAAGTGTTTTGACGACCTAGAGATTAATTTAAAGTTCTTACCCAATAGACCAGGAAAAATTACTGGTGAGCGGTAGGTCCAGTGCGGAAAAACACAAGTAGTGACAAAACGAACTATCAAATCATGAGGTATAGAAGATGCTCTCAGGTCTGAGGCGTATAACGATAATATCCGAACTTTTGTGAACGTTCCTTTTCTATGGTCTGACCAGGATAAATCATAGCTTAGCAAAGCACCCAAGTACTTTTCCAATGTCGTAGAGTGTAACCTCTCGCCATTGACGCGAGGTTCCGGGCATTGCTGGAGAAGCTGTTGCTATCGATTGCCCCTGTGCAGTGAAAAAATGGTAGCATTGCATTTCGACACGCTGGGCGGCAGCTCGTTGGCCTTTGATCAAAGGGTAAGGTCGTTATTTTGCAACCTGACTGAAAGCGTAGTCGTCATTTGATTGACGCCCAGGATAATGTCATCTGCGTGTTTATGCAGGGTTGCCTCTCCTGGGACTGGTTTTGGGCTTACATAGTTGGAAAAGAGAAATGGTGACGGAATAGCTCCCCGGAGTTTGTGATTAGGAGCGACGAGCTTCTGTCCCCAAGTAGGGTAACCTGAATACAACCGGTAAAAGAATCCATCTAAAGATGGACGATGGATGGATTTATTCCAACACCAAGTAGATCTTTAGGTAGTAATTCGCTGTTTATGCAGCTGAACTGGTTACTATAGTCCAAAAAACAGACTCGGATGAACTTGATACTATTATCCAAGAATGACAGAACCGAGTGCGCACGGTTGGCTACTGCGTGCTGGGCTGACAAACCGCGGTAGGCGAGTTGAGGAGAACCAGTTGACTTCTGTTGTCTCAACATTCACCCTTAGGGCTACCGAATTACAATCAATTAGTCGATATGTACTTGATTCCATTTTTTGGTATTGATGTGATAGGGACGCCTCTCCAGCAGTCGGTGACTTTATGTTGTTGGATGTATACTGTGTATAAGGTGGCTGGCCATAAAGTCAGCACATACCTTGTGGACAACGGAAGACAGACTGTCTGGACCACTTGCTTTCTCTGATTGAAGCTGTTTCAGCAACTTGCATACCGTGCCGCTGTCGGCAAGGATGCAGTGAGTCTGCAGACAATTTAGATTAGTCAGAGGTCGAATCGTTGTAGCTGTTGCAAAAACCATGGTTCACTTTCTTCAAGTCTACGTCAGAATTTAATGTACGCCGAGTAGTCCCACTTAACTGTTTTAACATCCTACAGAGTTCACGGAAGCTACTATTCCCAAGTATAGCCTAAATGTACACGTTGAGACGACGCAACTCCTCCTTTATAAGAGCAGATAGTGACTACCAAAGTGTTATCTTTATCTTTTTGTCTTCTTAGCTGCTTTAAGTGGGGGAAAAGAACCTGTCCGCACTGATGAACAGTTTCGTATGGACAGCAAATGTCAAAACAAAAGTTCAAGTAACTTGTTAACTGATAGCAATACGTGGATCCATCAGCGTCAAAAACTAAATTGATGTCGGGGGATAATACCATTTTTTCGCAGTCGGTCAATATTCTTGGCAGAACACTGCCTCCACCTGAACTGGCGGTCGTTGCAACGAGTATTCACCGTATGGTTTGTCTTAGAGTAGATCGCATGACACAGTTTAATTGTTATCAGAGCTACCCAACGGCGCCTTGTTACACACGGAGAACAGCTTCATGTTGTTAGCTGATACTAGATCAAGGGTTGCATCGGATCTAGTGGAGCAATTTACGATGTTTTGAAGTCCAAGACTTGTGAGAAAATCGGTGACAAATAGGGTAAAATCACTAGCAAAAATACATAGTGAACAATCAATGTGTTCCATTACAGCCGCTGTAAACTCCGCTTTAGGTTTCGGACAAATGGGGGAAACATAGATGTTAGCCAGTAAGATACATCTCGGTTTACATCTCAGAACTAAGCAACTAATACCTTAAGAGAAATAAGACGAAACCTCTATGAATACGCACCAGGAAGTGTTGATGTAGGTGATGACTCCACCGCCACGGTTACAGGGACTGCAAGAGCGGTCGTCTCGATGACATTTGAACCCTTCGACCGATACAAGTGTGTCATCCAGTTATTAAAGCCAAGTCTCTTGTAGTAAAATGACGCCTATCTGCAATTACTCTCGGGAGTTGCTGGTGCTTGCTAGTTCATCCATATTCCTTATAAGCGAACGGATGTTTGAGGTATGCTCATGCTTCCCAGTTCGTTTTCTTCCGCAGAGCTACCTTCTATGCGGCGCGGTGTTTTCTCGCACAATTATTGCACTTATTGTAAATTCGTTTCAATTTATTCGTTATAACCTGACCGTTTGAAAAGCCACAGCTGCTGAGCGCGGAAACACAACGATTCCAAAAGATCACGCGTATAGGTCAACATGATTACAAATGTGGCCAGATAAAACAAAGTGAAAAAATGATAGTTGGTATGACGCTAAAAGTGTGTTAGAAATTCCACAGAAAGGAATCGTAGAGCACGGCCAAGTTTGAAGGCCTTGCTTGATGCTAGCTAGTCTTCCTGCTGTAGGCTAGAGAGTGTCTTTTGAAGAGACGTTTGGTCAGGTTCGATTACCGTGTCATTAGACTGTGTATGTTATGGCGTGATGAGAATGCATGAATCTGTCCACCGGTTCCCTACCAAAAATCTGCAACAAGCTTGCAGCACTGTTTTTGGTGGTTTCTTGTTCGTTTATCAACATCTGCATTCGACCTCATATGTTCTGCAAAAGCCCAATGATATTATCCAAACCAAAGTTGTTAGGAATGTTGGAAATGTCAACGCCTTCCAATATGTGCGCTGTTTCAAGTGTTTCGGACGCGATGAAGACAAGGACTTGTCCCATATTTCTCCCAGAATTGTTCTGATGGGGTGCCAATGTGATCCGAGAAAATCCGATAAACCTTAAGTAGTTCAGTACAGGGATGTGTGTGAATTGCAAATTCACAACTCGCCATATGTATCCCTCTTTTCTTACTCGTCAGCGTATGTATAACTTTTATTTTGCCTTGTTATGTTCTGGGTGCACAACCACGTAGATTATAAAGCACGACCGGGACATTTGTTAATTCGCATCACTGATTAAACGAAGCACCGTCCTAGTGGCTCATGATCACGCACTTCACCGTCTCACCACTGACCAGGAACACACTGCTGGGATTTTTTCGGCTCACTGTTGCGCAACATTGAGGCTACGTCTACAAACCTAGTCGTAAGTCATTTATGTACATTTAAATTTCCTGTTATAGAACCACGTTTACGATTTCCGCTACATCGAGTTTTGCCCCTTTTGTCCTGGGAATCAAGCCGTGCGTGAGACTAGGTTTCTAGAGTGCAATATTTCATCTGCTGGCACTTACAATGTATTTACTTCAGTCCAACTAATTACATTCTGCTAATTCTAATGTTGTAATTCAGTTCT